AAAACCACTGTCTGTTTCCCGTATGGCCGCGAATGGTGGGCGATGAGGGCAAAGGCAATCCAGGGAATGGTAGCTTTGAAGTAGCCGTAGGCGTATGGGTTGACATCGAGGTACCTCTGGGCTGGTCGGGTAGGATGTGGGGGCGCACCAAATGCGAGGACCACGCGAAGGATATATGCAAAACAGGAACACCCGATACAACCCCAGCGACTGTGGGTTACTTCAACCTATCGGGCGTTAGGGGAGAGCTCGACCACTACTACATCACTCTCGAGGAGGGCTTTAATTTGCCGCTAAATATAGTGCCCATCGCTATGACACACATAAAAGTGAACGGCAGTCGATGTGATTGGGTGGGCTGTTATGACAATATTAATGACTTCTGTCCCGTAGAGTTGGAGTCCAAAGTAGGCGATCAGATCGTGGCCTGTCTCAGTGGGTGCATGAAATTCAAAACCGATGACTACTGTTGTAGGAATTCATACGTCAAGGACCACAAGTGTGATACGAAAAAGTGGCCTAAAAACTACCAGACCCTTTTTCAGAATCACTGTGGCTCCAGTTACACAATTAGTCCCGAGTATGACACCACCAAAGCCATGTACTCGTGCGGTGGTAACCCACAGACTGGATTTGAAATCATGTTTTGCCCTGGTCCTTATTAATATGTTTAATATTCTATATGTATTTATTAGAGTATTTAATTCCATACAAATAAATTATGTTATATAAATTTGTAAGATGTTTGATGTTTAAATATACTTAAATCATGTTTTGCCCTGGTCCTTATTAATATGTTTAATATTCTATATGTATTTATTAGAGTATTTAATTCCATACAAATAAATTATGTTATATAAATTTTTAAGATGTTTGATGTTTAAATATACTTTTGTATTAATTGTGTGTTTAAATTGTAATGTTCATAAAATTTAATAACATTATTTATAGGGTATTAATTGTAAGCGTAAAAATATATCGAGTATTTTTATCTTATTAAAGTAATATTAATATGGTTGGACTATATATTTATCATATCCATTATCATAACATATTTAGATTCAAAACAAATTGAGAAATATATCAATATATTGATTGGCATTACCGGTACTTTAGAAAAAATAATCACAATATAAAGGAGTATTGTATACGAATATTTATATAATATTTCAATTATAAAATTTTTGTTTAGTATTTATTATTGCCTAAAAGTGATATGAAATCATTGCTATATTTAATAGTTTTATTCACGGCATGTATTGCCAGTCAATTTAGATTTAGAAACCACTGTCTGTTCCCCGTATGGCCGCGAATGGTGGGCGATGAGGGCAAAGGCAATCCAGGGAATGGTAGCTTTGAAGTAGCTGTAGGCGTATGGGTGGACATCGAAGTGCCACTGGGCTGGTCGGGTAGGATGTGGGGGCGCACCAAATGTGAGGACCACGCGAAGGATAAGTGCCAAACGGGAACACCCGACACAACCCCAGCGACTACGAGTCATTTCAACCTATCGGGCGTTAGGGGAGAGCTCGACCACTACTACACCACAATAGAGGACGGCTTTAATCTGCCGATAGAAATATCAGCCATCGCTATGACACATATCAAGGTGAACGGGAGTCGATGCGATTACAGCTCCTGTTACCAACTCAATGACTTATGTCCCGATGAGTTAGCCGTGAAAGTGGGCGATCAGATCGTCGCGTGTCTCAGTGGGTGCATGAAATTCAAAACCGATGACTACTGTTGTCGCGACTCTTTCGTAAAGGACCACAAATGCGATACTAAAAAGTGGCCCAAAGACTACTCGACCCTATTTCACAAACACTGTTATAACAGTTATACAATTGATCCCGAGTTCGACACCACGAACGCCATGTACTCGTGTGCGGGTAATCCGCAAACAGGCTTTGATATATTGTTTTGTCCCTGAACATTATTTATATGTTTAATATTCTGTATTTATTTACTATATTATTTAAAAGCAATGCAAAAAAAATTATATTTAATAATTATTGGTTTTTTAAATTTGTTTCAATTAAATTTAATTATGTTATGGTAAAATTGTGGTTATTAAGGATATAGTTTTCATTTTAAATGTTAATATTTATCAATAGCCATAATCAATTGTTTATAAAATTTTAATGTACTGTAGTGTTTGTGAATAATGCACATGTTATTCTGATCCTATTTCTAAATTTTTAATAAAATGTTTCAAACATTTGTTTTTTCAAATTATTCTTCACATAAGAGAGAGATATCTCAGAATATCATAAAAATAATTTGATGTAATTTTGCAAATTTCTTTGTGTAAAATAATTTCACAATAGAATTATTATTTTATTAAAATTGTCATAAAAATCTTATAGCAAGTTATAAATAGAAATGTATTAACTATACTAGATGAGTTGAAAAGGGTCATAAATTCATCATAAAACAAGATATAAGACGTCAATTTTATTATACCATTAATTGTATTGCTTTAAAAAAGTCTTATTCTTACCAAATAAGTGATTCATAAAAACTTATATCAGATTTGATGCTACATTTGATGTGAAACTTTTTTAATTTCATACAAGTTATGAAAACATAGTAATTAAATAAAAGGCACTAATTCTGTGAAAACAAAGTCAGTGTTGAAACGAATGGGAAATACATCGAAAACTAGCGAAACAAAGGAGAGATTCTTACTGTATATTAGCGACCAATCCATGGGAAAGACACATCTCGTATGGGATTCGCTGAACAGAGATTTACAACAGCCGTAGACGAGGAGTTCCGGTGCCCTATATGTCGGGATATCGTCGAAGAGCCCATCACTTCCCAGTGTCAGCATGTCTTCTGTAAGGCGTGTATTCACGAGTGGCTGTCCAGAGAGCCCTCGTGTCCCGTCAGCCGCCAACCCCTTAAAGTCCATCACTTGACAGAGATATCGAGATTTTATCGCAATTTCTATTCAAAACTAGAGATTAGATGCGATTTTGAGTCAAATGGGTGTCACTTTGTCTGCAAAGTGGAGGACATTAAAGGACATCAAAATAAGTGTCAATTCAATCCTTATCGAGATTTTATCGCAATTTCTATTCAAAACTAGAGATTAGATGCGATTTTGAGTCAAATGGGTGTCACTTTGTCTGCAAATTGGAGGACATTAAAGGACATCAAAATAAGTGTGAATTCAATCCTAACATTAAGAATGAATGCATTAATGGCTGCAAAGCAATGGTCACTAAAACCGAGGCATTGACTCATAATTGTGTTGAATTTCTTAAGAAACTAATTGATGAGAAAAATGCAGAGATTTCTCGACTGACTGATAGAGAGAATGAATTCAAGAGAAAACTTCTGGACTTTCAGATCACTATAAAGACAAAGAATAGCGAAATAAATCATTTGAATGAATGTCTGTTTGAGAAACGGAACCAAACTTCAGGTATTAATATACAGTACATGACTTCATTGACTACCAGACCATAACATTTATTTCTTGTATTTTAGAAAAGGGTTCATTAGTTCCAGTGGTTATACCATCGACTTCTAGCCTAACTTTGGATAATAAGTATAAAAATAAATATTTAAAAAGTAAATTAAATTATAATCAAAATGTCTTAAGTGCCCAGAAATTCAAGCTCTTATTGGTTGGCGACAAAGGGGTAGGAAAATCAAGTCTTTTGTTGCGTTTCATTGGCGACACATTTCTCGACTCATTGAAGAAGACGATAATCAATGGCTACAGGAGTCGGACCATTGAGTTTGACGATCGGATCATCGATTTGGAGATTTGGGAGAACTGTCGACAGTTTAACACGAGTACAGACTTTGGAGAAGTGGATGGGATTATGTTTATATACGATGTGACCAAATGGCGGACATTCAAGCATTTGAATGATTTCATCAAAGATATGAAACGCAAGACTAGGACTGATGTCAAGAGACTACTGGTCGGCAATAAATGCGATGACATTGAAGCCAAACGGGTTGACTACTTGAGTGCACTCGAGTTCTCCCGATTCTGTGGTATGGATCATATATAACTGACTTTTCAATGGAAATACTTTTATTTAATTATGTTTTTGTCTTCAATAGGAATCCCATTCATCGAGACGTCTGCAAAGACTGGTAATGATGTGGAGGAAGCCTTTTGTCGTGTTGTCACACAAACTGTCGTAAAACTATCAGATTTGCGATCATTTAGTTTGACTTAAAACTATATTTTAAACTTAATTTTATGACAACTATAAACTGCTAAACTTTGTTGATTAATTTTAAATTAATAAGTATTGAAATATAAGTTTTATTCAAGAATTTAGTTAAAAACATTTAGATTATCTTAAAAAGTAAATTAAAGAATATAAATATAATTAATAATATTATTTTTAAACTTTTCGAATTTTGTTTATTCAAAACCAATAATAAATATTTATATTAATTATTTAATTATGTAATTATTTATATTGATTACGGAAATACAAATAACATTAAATTATGAGAAATACATACCGGTACCTTTATGAAGAATTGTTAAATTTTTAATGAGCGATATCTTTTAAAATCATTTAAAATGAGACAGATTATTTTATTTGTAATATGGTTTGTTATGGTTTACGAAGATTTTTAGGATAACTGAGTCGGGGATTGAATTTTATAGTTTGTGTGCCAAAGCATTCAATAGTAATCAAACCAAATGATGAGATTTGTTTGAATAATGACATGAAGTCGTCTTCCATGCTATCATTTGTGCCTAAATTATACTCCAATAGACTGACCATTAGTTTACTGAATGCGTTCACATCTGACTTATTCAATGTTTTCTTAATCACTAAAACACCGGTATATCCCGTGATTGTGTCCAGACCTCTGTCCACACATTCAGACATATTCAGTGATGGAGTGAATGTTATCTTGACAAATAATCCATTTTTGTAAAATCCTGACAACACTTCATTCAGACTCATGTGAACCATAATTCCTGTTATTTTACAAATTATAACAATTAAATAAAATAAATATTTTTAAAACTTTATTATCATACCATTTATATCAACTGATTCCACGTTTAATAGCCTAACAAATGACTGCAATATTTGTTTGTTATGGAGAGTGATATTGAAATAACGGGTGTCATCGTTGGCCTCAGCGTCGATACCCAGACAACTGGCTTTGGCCTCATATGCATTGATCCGGGATATCACTGATACAGCCATGGGCTCCGAGTTTGGGTTCAAACAGTGCGGCATATGCTGTGTTTGAATCACTTTTGTCACTTCATACAAATTATTTAAGATATTTTAAGATAAAGTATATACCGGTTACATAAATATATACTCACTTATATTACAATTTGTTAATCCTGTTTAGAATTTAAATTAATTTAATTAGTTAAATAAAATATTATAAATTGTTATAAATAGTTAACTTACTCGTGTAGAGGATTATGAATAATAAATTCCATGTAATGTTAAAAATATTTAAATACAAAACCATTTTATAATAACAAGAGTGTATTTGTTTTGAAAAAAATAAGTTTTTCATAAAATTCAAGAAATACAAATGTTTTTAAATATTATTAGTTTAATTGCTCTCAATTTAATTATGAACTGTATGCGTGTGTTTGACATATTTTTGTGCTGAGCATTTGAAAATATTTCCATTCAAAATTATTTTACTATACATATAAAATATATTTATTTATTAAAATTAAGGGCAAACTATTTTGTTTTGATTTTTAAATATAGAAATTGTTTTTAATTACTATTTAAATAGGTAATTTTGTTTGTAGCAATCTGTAGTAAAACAATAGTGGAAAATTCCTAGATTAGTTTACAATAGTTAATATTAATATTGCCATTGAAATAATAAATTCCCATAACTTTATATAACTTTATATTCGTATTATGTAGTACTGAATAATAAAATTGTTATAACTTATCAAAAGTTCTTAAACGCCGATAATAATAATATGAATCAATGAAAGGTCTAAGCAAACTTCATGTAATAATAATTTTGTTTATCTAATCAATAAAAATGTTATTCAATACAACAAAAACTTAAACTCATTGCAAGTTTTCAGGACTTCTCCAAAGATTATTAACGAACTTTGACTTTAAATATAAGAGTTAAATAGTATATAAGGTTTGGCTACGATATACAGTAATTAAACTCACAATAGTAGTGTATATCATTAAATTAACTAAAATTAATATTAATTTTTATATAAATATATTATAAAAAATTAATTGATAAAAATCAGAAACAAAACTTGAAAAATTGATAACAATTATCAATTCTTACAAACTTTTCCTACATAATCATAAATTATTTGCCTGAAAATA